AAAGTAAAATAATGGGGGACTACATACCTACCTGTAACTACTTGATTTTGAGGATCAGCATTCCTGCGGCTTGGTCTCTGACTAGGCCTCCTGGTTGCTGGTCTGATCAGTCAGGCTGTTTGATGTGGCTGCTCACAGCCACATCAAATAAAGTTACAGCCACATAGGAGTCGCATCCTGGTCGATCAGGTATCCTTAGACGGTTCTTGTCAAGTTTTCTTTTGAACGCCGCGAGAGGTCAGCCAATTATGCTCCATATGTATAAGGGAAGAGTATTGAAAAATCTTGGGCCTTGATGTTGGTCGAATTCTCTGTATACCTATTGCACCTCTACTTTTCAGTGTGACTAGTTTGCAAATCCTGCCATGCTTTTTGGTCTCATTTGGTGTGGAGAGTCAGAAGTCTTGGACTGTTAAAGCAAACCAAATACTGTATAGTCTGACCTAACCTGTCCCAACCAAATGAGAGCCTCCAATTCCACACAAGTTTGCAACTTTAGAAAAATGTTGAACCGATACAAAAGTATTATAATCCAAAAAAATGTGAAGTCATTGTGTACTTTAAATGAAGCTATCATTTTTTATGCTAGTCTGTAGACAAACAGGAGAAATAGTTCTCCAAAAATTACATCTACCCATCCTCCTCTGGGGAAAACAAGCAAAAATGCATCTAATATCCAATAGTTTCAAAAACAATAATTAATAAAATAAATAAATGTTTATTTAGGTAAGGTACATACATACAAGAGATTTTACAAAGAATGATGGATTTATAGATAGGGCTAGTATAGTACATACAATGCCTAAAGCCACTATTACGCAAAGCGTTTCGGGCATGAAAGGGAATTGACAAATGGCTGCTCTGTGGTAAACTAATGTGCCAGGGGTGCATTTGACTATGCTTCCATGACTTAAGTATTGATGACTTTCAACGCCTTAGCTGAAATACCGTTTTTGCAGTTATAGAAAAGACGCCGCAAAACTAAGATCAATTGCAGTTCAATTACTTTTTGCTCCGTTAATATAATGCTGACTGATACAATATTAGAGGTCAGTGAGTTGAAGGACTAAAACACAGGTAAATGTCCCTAAACCCTTACGCTGCGATTATCTTCTGTTGACGATTCCTAGGGAATTGCGGTTAACATCATATGACTGATTAAACAGTTATTGTCTGGGTTTTACATGAATGATGCAAATATGGCTATAATAGGTCTATATGGATGTAATGAGTTTACCTTAACCCATGAAAAAATTCTTACATTTTGCATATGTACTGCATATGTTGCATATGTTCCAAAACTAAAAATTCTACAATTTTTTGTTTTGGAAGGGGGGGGGGAGAGAATCGTATATTTTTTGTGCATAGGCAAGAGATATTTCGATAGATATACTGTACTGTATAGCAAGAGAGAGAGAGGCAAATTCTAATCATATGCAAGTATAGTTTTGAGCCATTATTGTGATAATTTTATCACTGAACTAGTATCAAGAGTAAAGACAAATCACTTTTCAGTTGACAATGAAATTGTGCGCGTTTAAAGTGCGACACAGAATTATTTCAAGGGCACAAAAGGTTGAAAAACGCTGCTCCAAATGATAAAATGTAACATGATTGCCAAATTGTTTTACAAAGCACCATGCAGTACTCAATGGAAAAGAGCAACGGCACTCCTGTTTCGGCAGCTTCTGGCACCTTGTTCGTTCGGAACTGGAAAAACAGCTTGTTCGATTTCATCGCCACAATCCAAGAGAGAGTGTAAAATGCATTTGTGTATAATCCTCAGAGGGCGAGATTAATGTTATCATATGCCAGTACAGTATTCATGCTACAAGTAAGACCACAACCATGTACACACCCTGGAGCACCCAAGAGCTCAATCACAGGAATAACTCAATTTATTTTCATTGTTTTTGGCTTTATTTATATACTGTAATTATTTTGTTCTTGAAAGTTGTACAAATGTCAAAGATGGGGTTCATTACGTATAACTTAAAATACTGGTATACTGCATACAGATATGTTTACAAACACAGTACTGTATACACATTTTATCTGAAATGAGCAAACATCTTTTATCATTTGCTGTTGATAAAAGTTCAGTGACTCCTAGTATGACCACCCTGCACATTCAGACGATGGTGATGTTGCCAGATATGGTCCTCAATTTTTTTTTTATATAACTAAGGCCCTAGAAGGCTAAGTGTAGTTACAGGATGAGAGCTATGTTTGTGGTGTCCTATCTTCACAGAAAAATTTGTTATATGAGACTTTGAAACTACTGACAATTTTGGCATCCACTTCCTTTTCACTTATTCCAACCTCTACCACAGTCTGCGAAAGACAACTTTCTAATATTTTTTCATTATTTTTGTTACTTTGAATCTGGTGACCTCTTGTTCTTGAAGTTGCAGGTTTCAAGAATGTAAATTTTGTCCTCTCTGTATTTAGTGATAATATCACCTATTTTTCATCTAGCTTTGACATATTTAACCACTGTGCTGCAGAAGCCAAGAAATCTCGTTCTGAGAGTTGTGCTTTTTTTTTATCGAGGCTATATTTTAATGTTTTTAAAATGTTTTCATCGGTTTTAAAATGAAAATAGTTGAGTTTGGAAACATTTAACATTAACTTTACCTGGACATTTATAAAAATAACAAATATGTCCTTAACAATTGCACTATGAAGCTTTTGCCAAAAACGGCTGCGCACTGCAGGGGTTAACACTAGCTTCTCCTCGTAGCTCTTCCTTTCAATTCCAGAAGCTATTTCATAGCATATCTCTACACCTTTTTTTTTTTAGTTCATTGATGTGCTTGAGACGGGCACCGTACAAACACTGCATATTTCAATTTTGGCCTCAAAAAAGTCATGAACAGTTTTGTGCATGTGCAATATTTGTATTTGTATATCATATCATACAGTACTGTATATCTGCATTCTTATATACTGTATGTGCGTGTAGCTACTGTACAATATAAGTATGTCTTATCTCAAAACATCTGGACAAATCAGTTGGGACAATGCACATACAGAATACAGTACAGTATAGTATAATGAGTTAAGTTTGCCTGATGTCTGGTAGCAATAAAAGTCGGAAAAAACATTGCCCATATTTTAACACATTTTCCAAAAAAATTTTTTTTATAATTTTTAATGTGGTGGCATTTATCCCCTCCTCCTCCTCCTCCTCCTCCTCCTGCCCCTAACAAATAATGTTCATTGCCAATCCAGTAAAAAATTTCTTAAGATTTGTTTTTCCTTTTTAAAAGGTGTGGACATATTCGTATCATTTGAATATCGATATAAATAATTTCAGAATTACAAACAATTGAGCAGAATGTCAAGGCGGTGTGAAGGGAAGACCATAAAGTTTAAAATGGGATAAGAATGGAAATGAGATACCGTATATATATGCAGAGCATATTGCAAGTTAGGGAACAGTATATCGGTAACGTGGACATCAGTGCTGTTAGAAGCCAACTAAAGTTTGCAGGACAGGTAGAAAGGAAGTTTTGTGTAACATGTTTTGAGAGACCTTCAACAGCTTAGCAGTTCAAAAAACTAACTGTAGAAGCAGGTGGTTTGGAAGAGTCGAGTGCAGAGCCAGCAGGTGGGAGTGAAGAGTCACGTACTGATTCAGATAACATGAACCTACTTAAAAAACTACCTTTACAAGATGATCAATAGACCAGGAGACATTCATGAAGCAGTTATGCAAGCACTTATGAACCAGTACATCTTTTCTCAATCTTTGGCAGCTTTGTTTACAATTATTAAACAGTTAATGAGCTCCGAAGCACCAGAAGGCTGTTTATAACAACAACAGTAGATTGGGAAGTTTTCATGCTTGTAAACTGTTTAATAAATGTAACCAAAGTCGTCAAAGATTGAGGAAAGATGTACACGTTCGTAAGTACAGTACTTGTGTAAGTGCTTGGTGAATCTGGCCCCAGGGCTAGGATTCACTTGGCTTGAATCTCTTGAATTTAGACTTATTTGCTTCAAAACAAATGGTTCAAGATAGAGCAAAACAAATGTTTTTTTTTCTTTTTTTATTAAAAAACAGACCAGCTTCACTAGTCTAAAGATGATGCTCATGAATATTAGACTTGGTTGCTTCTGCAGATGACAGCTTTACAAAATAAAGGCACTTTACATCCTGCACAAAGAAGGCCTTTTAGAAATTACCAATACTACATACTGTATAACTAAGTCCATGGGCCCCCACACAAAACGAGAAGACTCGTCTCAACAAAAATTTGAGACAAATCCACAGCCTATACCTCCCAATACCTCAAGTTCTAAGTGATCTTCCTGTGATAACCCTGTTGAGTGGATCATTCCAGACATGATATTCACTAAATTACATTAATAAAATAATATTAAACCTCAATAAAATATATAAAAAAACCTGTAAAACACAGAAGAAAGTAAACCATGCTGAAAGATGAATGTTAGAGGAAAGATGCAAGGTGTGCCAACAGTGCTGGCACTGTCCAGAATAATGACAGCTTCAAGCGCCAACAGCCTTCACCTGCTGTGCCTTCGTGTTGATGCACCAACGAGCTTCACACTACTCAGTGTAGCACCTAACTTGATAAACTTATATTAGACAGGCCACTTACTCAATTATTAGCCTTGCCCTACTTTTCCATCTTCTTTGCCTCTCCCTTTTACCTTCATTCTCTAACCACACCCTACTTTTTCATCTTTTTTTTCTATTTCCTTTCTCGTCCACCTTGCTTGAAGCTTTGCTTCACAGGGAGTCTTCCATAATTTTCTCTTGCAACCAGTTTCAATAATCTTACCACTAACAATAATCTTGTGTTGCAAACAGATGCCATTCATGTGTGATAATTGTATTATTAATGATAATTAGCAACTTATTCTTGTCAATTTTACATATAATATTATAATATTTTACCCTTGTAATGCCTTGCACATCATTCAACAAATAGTATTTGACATTAGCATTTATTTGACATGTTGTGTTGCAGGGTATTATCCGACGCGTAACAGATTCTGTCACTGGTCTGTTTTCGGCATCGTGGCTTTCTGGTTGGATGGGTGGTGAAGATGATGATGAGAGTAGTGATCAACAAGCTGGATCTTCACAAACATCAACTGTGGCACCAGCGGGAGAATCTTTTATTTTTGCCCAGCCAATCACAGCTCGTCGGCCATTTAGACCTATATATCCTGAGGAAGGTGAATAAAATAAATTTCTTTTAAATGAATTTTATGCTTAATGTACATTGTCACAGCGTCTGTCCCAAGTTTTTGCCAACAGTTATTAATGTGTACTTTAGACAAAATATATTAAATGATGATTGCTAAATAAAGATGCTTAATTATATACTGTACATGCCACTGTTGGGCAGTGGTATAGGGATGACTGCTTACAGAATATATTTTCTAGTGCTAATGAGGCTTAATTTATTTAAAATTATTAATTGTGATGGTCAGATTTGTTAAGCATTCATTTAATTTGCTTTTCTATCTTTATCATAAAGTTTTTCACAATATCAGTTTTGGGAATAATCATTGGTTTTAGCTGCTTACCTTGGCAGTGACTAAACAACCATGTACTGCCATTCCTTTTGCACTATTTTCTGTTCAAGAAATGCAAATGAAAACCAGTAGCTAGCTAAGAGTCTGAGGCAGTGCTCGTCATATTTCCATCATCAAGAGGGTGCATTAATGTGATTACCTCAAGAAGCCAATTATTTTCTAAGTATTTGTTTGAAGAACATATTCATTAGTATGTAGTAAGCTAATGTGTTGACTAATGTTTACTAAAATGTTCTCATAGGTGAAACAGAGGGTAACGGTCAACAGTCTCTAGGTGTTAATGAAGGAGCAAGTACAAGTAGTGGAGTAAGAATGGGTGTGTCAGGAACCTCATCAGTTGGTATTTCAGCAACAACCTCCAGGTCAATACAGCTAAGTGGAGACAGTCCCAGTCCATCACTAACGGGACGAAGACATCCAATCATATCTTCTACGCCTGCCCCAATGTTCGTGTCTCGCACAAAGAGTCAGCTGGAGTCCCGTTCTTTACCTCTACTCACCTCCTCGACACCAACTGGTAATTATTGTTTACAGTTCTTGTATTATTTTGGATAAACAATTTACCCTTTCTGGACAGGAGACGGTGCCTCAGATCTTGGCTTCACTTGCTCTTGTGCTGTTGGGTATAAATTTAGTTAGATGCTCTCTACCTTCACCAAATTATAACATGATGCTTATAAAATTTATAGTTTGTGTGTAGGGTGAGGGTTATGAATAAACTTGTGCAAGTTATTTCAGTAAATGATAATAAATTTGTAATTATCATCTCATGATTTTGGGGTATGCAGATGACGTTCTGGTGACCGTTTTTCTTATCAGCTAAAGAGATGGATTTACCATGCTTGCTCTGCAGTTTATGGTCTTAGTTTCTGTTTACACACATTCTTGGATTGTTGATGGCTCTCCCACTCACTTTTTGCTCATAATTATCTATTCTGTACACTATAATACATAATTATAAACTTTCATCCTCCCCAAATGGTGATTAACCATTACGCTGCTAAGCATAAGGGGCCGGGGAGCAGAAAATATTCAAATTATGTAAAAAACTTAATGTTAAACAAATCTCCAAACTTATTGGCTTCAGCAGTGTGAAACGTTCATCAAAATATTTTCAGAAATTAATTTTTAAAAAGAACATTTTGTTGATAAGGAGAACAGCTCCTAATAACTTGAACTGAGGGATACTGTAGTAATAGAGAGATGCAAGCACCTGTCTGACAGAGAAAGAATAATAATAGTAGTAAGAAGTGTCTACAAAGTCTATATGCAGCTGGTGCCTTTATGGTATTGCTGAGTAATACATAATAACAAATAATAATGAGTATGTTTGTTATTATGCTCTATTTTGTTATATAACACACAAATACATTGTCCAATGTTTAAATCTGTTACTTTCAGCAATGTCCTCCCAAAAAATGGGGGGGGGGGATTTTGTTTCCTTTGTTTATTATCTGATTTTACTGTAACCCTTACATCCTGGAGAGTGCATACCCGTCCCTAACTATGTGAAGATAGAATGAAATTGGTCAACAAATAAATCGGTTACAACTTGCAGAACTTAGGATTGAATTTATTTTGGCTGATTTTTTCACAGATTTCAAACTGTTTTCTTTGTCTCTTAGGTCGTTTTGATGATTAGGGACCAGCGGGCCAGATTCACGAAGCCGTTACGAAAGTACTTACAAACGTGTACATCTTTCCTCAATCTTTGACGGCTTTGGTTACATTTATTAAACAGTTCACAAGCATGAAAACTTGCCACTCAACTGTTGTTATTGTTATAAACAGCCTCCTGGTGCTTCAAAGCTCATTAACTGTTTAATAATTGTGAACAAAGCCACCAAAAGATTGAGAAAAGATGTACAGGTTCGTAAGTGCTTGCGTAACTGCTTCGTGAATTTGGCCCCAGATTAGGGTTTTTTCACTTGCATAAAGTATTCCTAAATATATCCCCAAAATCATTATAATTATCCCTAAACTTTCAACCATATCAAAAAATCCAGTTTTTGGCTGATTCTCACCATTTTTAGATGTAGTGTGCCCAGCTGTCTGTTCTTAGAATCCTATAGAATGGAAGTTTCATAAACCCTAAACCTTTGGAGTCATAATTTTTGTCAAATTTTTGCCAAATTTGGCGCATATTTCAAATGCCATATTGATATTTTGTTTTACAGTAATCTATAGTGAAAACCTTTATTCTCAACTTAAGAAAATGAAGATCAGATGCTATTTTGAGAGCAAAATAACACCAAATGAACAATTGGTGATTTTAATATTTTTGCAGCTGATTTGAAAATCTTGAATTTTCAATATTAAATGTTATAAATATTTTTTATTTTCTTGTTTTTCAAGTTACGTTGGTGATCATTTAGACAAAGTTGGAGCATTTGCCTAGTAGATCATGCACAAAACATTTGAAAGCGTTTCAGCCAATTTTAAACACAGTGATGTTCCCCGTCATATATATGTATGTATGTATGTATGTATGCATGCATGCATGCCTTGCGCAGTTTAAGGGTTAATGGTTATTGGTGAAGGCATAGTCCCTTTTTCTCAGCATCTGGAAAGGGAAAGAATTTCCAGCTTGAGAATTGAATCTATAGTTGCTGGGAGTCTAGTCCCTAATATAGAAGTATTGGCTACACACGTTTCAAATTAGGCTACAGTTCTTCAGTTTTTCTTCTACGATAGACTTATAAAATCTGCAAAATAACTTCTATGTGCATATATTACATGTATACATTATCACATTAACTACTTTTGTTGTAGTGGAAAGACACAAGCCTGAAGAAAAGTGCGAGAAACACATTTAATAGAAGTTATTGATATCAAGCATTTAAGACATCACTTGTCCTGTTATTGTATTAGCCCATGAACTTTGGCATAGTTTATAGTTGATATCCTCTTGTTTTGCAGATTTTTTGTTTTTCTGATGTTAAAATGCATTTTCTGATCATGGAAAAAATTGTGTGAATGACTTTGGCCATATTTATGCCCAGAAGTCTCAAGATTTATGAGTGTTGACATAGCATTTGGCCCGTGGCAGTAGCCATGACCCAGCCGTGGGATGGGAGTCACAATGAAGATTTTTTTAGATACTTCAATGTGACTGATTTTTTCACTGATTTTCCCAGGTGATAATATTCAGTAGTGTGTGTCATTTAAGAAAATGATATAATAAAATATGGAGCATCGGAAATTCAAATATATTCCTGTTGCTAGTCTGTACATATTATATGCTTAGAACACTGAAACAGTATTTTTGCTGTTATCACACTATATACTCATATACTCTCAAGTCAAGCCTGGGCTCGGGCCGGGCTTGGGGAGAACAACTCCCGGAACCCCATCAAGTAGGTATAAAACAATCTACACACTATTATGGAGCACTAAGCAGATCTGGTGGGTGTGATAATCTTGTAACCAGTGATCAGAGTTCAGCTTAGCTCTGCATGCTTTGCCAGAAATTGTAACTGCACACGTTGAATATGCAGTACAGTATTATGTTTTTAGCATTTTTAACCCTTAAGCTGCTAAGAGGTCCTGAGGAGATTTACACCCCTGTGCGCAAGAAAAATAATTCTAAAATTATTTCGTTTTCTAAAAATGTTAATTTGTGTTCTCTGAGCACAGGAAAAAAAATCGGCGACACATTTTGGGTGCAATAGACCAAAAAAGTCTGGCAAAAAGTGGGCGCTGACAGAGCGGTCGTCAGAGCCGGTCAGCGTCACCCGTGTTGACAGGTGGGAGTTGCCACAAAGATATTGTCACTTAATTATTACAATGTCTGGTTGATTTTTTCTTAGTTTTTTTGCAGTAATATTATTCAATAGTGTGTATTGTGATAGATTTATATAATAAAAGGGGTGAATCATCACTATACTCAAAAGTATGGTGTGCATATTAGTGATTCAATTATGTTCATTAAACAATAAACAAATAGTTTTGCTGTTATTACACTATACACAGGTTATATATAAGTATCTACATGTTTTGTTCACCACAACTGTACAACTAAGCTGATATAGTTAGTTCAGGCACTAAGAGTCGTCGCTACACACAGTCAGTTGGCGGCTCCCTCACTCATTCAAGGTCACACGTACTAAATTTCTCCCCCAACAATACTGTTTGCAGTGTTATTACACTATATACACATTATATATAAGTATCTACATGTTGTATGCACCATAACTGTACACCTAAGCTTGTAGTGCCCAAAGAGCATAGTGGCCACCCTCTACACACCCAGACAAATCATGCAGACGACATCACCTCTGTCACCCAAATGTCTCCTCCCAACATAATCCTTTTGCTGTTATTACACTAATACACACATTATATATAAGTATCTATATTTGTGTTCACCATATTGAACCACTGAGCTGGTATGGTGAATGCAGACAACAGGAGGTGGCCACACAGTTAGTAAACGATGCTATCTCCCTCAGTCCCTCAGCATCACTCCTCCCACAGCGCTAATTATCACAACAATTCTGCTATTAGCACAATTTTGGTTATTTTTATCACAGTCAGGGGTCATCTGTAATATTGTCATCGCTAAATAATAGCAGTTATATATTTATTTTGACATTTTTCGGCGATGCTGTGGTCACAAGCTGAACAGCAATGCTGTTCGCTCATGCTGCGTGCACCAGCCTTGGTTGCGCCAACAGTACTGTGGCTCTCACACCTGAGAATATTGCCCACGATTTAAAAAAAAAATGGCGTCTGTTTGCAAGTGCCCTGAAGAAGCTAATGTGAACCCCGTGTAGCTGCAGGCCATTTGAATCGTGCCTGGCACCCTGTGGCGTATATATTCGCCATGCGCACCGTGGGACATGTTACGCATGGTGTATATATACGCCATGCGCAGTTTAAGGGTTAATGTTTTATGATTTTTTCAATTGCAATAATGTTGTTTCATAGATCATGTGGAATGTAGGTACACAAATATATTTGTCACCTGTATGTGGACGATATTATATTCTTTCAACAATAAAACATACTTTTTGATGTTATGCTATATACACATGATATATGTCTACAGTACATTTATATATGTGATATATTCACTAAGGAGATAGATGTATAGATATACCCCTGTACATAATATATATGTATATCAACTAAGGATAATTATATACATATTGTATATATATATATATATATTCACTAAGGAGTTCTGGTAATGAAATCCAAGCAGAGCTCGGCACCACATGCTATCAGCAGACAATGCCACCTAACATAGCAAAATGCCTCTAGTTTATACTGTGCACATTGCTAATTAGTTGCAAAGTGTTGGGATCGAACTGTCGACAACCCAACACATTTAATTTAGGTTTATTCTGAATGTTTATCCTCTGCTTCGTTGTACAACAGCGGGGTACATGAATTTGAGCAGGTGTCAGCCTCAGCCGGACCTATTGTCAGGTGTGACACACTTTGTGCTGAGGTCTGACAAAGGACAAGAAAATAAGATGGTATAAAACTTCATCATGGATATATTCGGATATC